GCTCCCAGTCAGGTACATTGTGTTTCCCTGCACACAACTGATTTTTGCTGTCCAGGCTGATGCAGCATTTATAGGTCATGAATGCCAGTCTAGCCTACAACCAAAATATCCTGATACTTTCAGTGAATTACTACTCATTTGGTTATAGTTGCAAATTTATAAAAAGGTTTTATGGCTATGTTAGGAAAAGGAGAGCTGTATTTAGAGAAACTCAAACATTTATGGATGAAACAGAAGGATTTGCAGTTTTCCCAGCATCATTTGTTAAAAAGGCTATCTTTTCTCCACTGTGTGTTTTGGGTGCCTTTGACTAGTATGAAATAACTGTATTTATGTCGGTTTGTCTCTGTGTCTTTTATTCTGTACCATTGATCTGCATGTATGAACAGACCTTAAACTATACTACAGAGCCGTAGTAAAAGGTCTGGTATTGTGATGCCTCCTGCTTCACTCTTTTTGCTAAGGATTGCTTTGGCTATTCTGGGTCTCTTATTTTTCCAAATGAATTTCATGATTGCTTTTTCTACTTCTATAAATATGACTTTGGGATTTTAATTGGAATTGCATTGAATCTGTATAGCACTTTTGGTAGTATGTCCATTTTAACAATATTAATTCTGCCTATCCAAGAGCATGGGAGATCTTTCCATCTTCTTCAGTTTCTTTCTTTAGTGTTTTGTAGTTTTCCTTGTAGATGTCTCTCATCTTTTTTTGTTAAATTAATTCCCAAGTTTTTGTTGTTGTTGTTGTTTTTTTGTTTTTTGTTTTTTGAGGCTATTGTGAATGGGGTGGTTTTCCTAATTTCTCTTTCAGAGGATTCCTCAATGATATATAGAAATGCATTTGATTTATGGGTATTGATTTTATATCTTGCTACTTTGCTGAATTCATTTATTAAATCTAGAAGTTTTCTAATGGAATTTTTCGGATCCTCATAAGTATAGAGTCATGTCATCAGCAAATAGTGGTAATTTGAGTTATTTTCCTATTCCTTTTCTATTTTTCCTTTCATTTCTTTGTCTGTCTAATTGCTCTGGCTAGAGTTTTAAGGTCGGTGTTAAATAGAAGTGGTGAACGAGGGCATCCCTATCTTGTTCCAGTTTTTAGAGGGAATGTTTTCAAATTTTCTCCATGTAAAATGATATTGACCTTAGGTTTAGAGGAAATTAAGCCCCTGTCTCTCTCCATGCACAAAACTCAACTCAAAGTGGATCAAGGGCCTAGGAATTAGACCCTTCACCTAATAGAAGAAAAAGCAGGCACAAATCTTCATAATGTTGGATTAGGCCCCGACTTGCTTAACAGACTCCTAAAGCACAAGAAGTAAAATTAAGAATCAATAAATGGGATAGATTCAAACTAAAAAGCCTCTCAGAAAAAGAAACAATCAATGAGGTGAAGAGAAAACCTACAGTATGGGAGCAAATTTTAAGCACTAATCTCCAGAATATATAAAGAACTCAAAAAACTTAACACCAAAAAGAATACCCCATCAATAAATGGACTAAGGAACTGAACTCAAGACACTTCTCAGAAGAAGGTATACAATCAGTCAACAAATACATGAAAAGATGTTCAACATCTCTAGTAATTTGAGAAATGTAAATCAAAACTACTCTTTAAGATTTCATCTCACTCCAGTCAGAGTGACAGTTACCAAGAATACAGGAACCATAAGTGTTGGCGAGGATGTGGGAAAAAGGCACACTTATACATTGCTGGTGAGACTGCAAGTTGGTGTATCCAATCTGGAAAGTAGTATGCAGATTCCTTAAAAAACTTGGAATGGAACCACCATTTGACCCAGCTATCCCATTCCTTTGTCTATGCCCAAAGGACTTAAAAACAGCAGTGACACAGCCACATCAATGTTTATAGCAGCACAATTCACAACAGCCAAACTGGAAGCAACCTAGATGCCCTTCAATAGACTAATGAATAAAACAAACTATGGTGTATACACACAATGGAATATTACTCAGCAATAAATAAGATCATGGCATTTGCAGGTAAATGGATGGAGTTGAAGAATATCATGCTAAGTGGATTTAGCCAATCCCAAAAAACCAAAGGGCAAATGTTTTCTCTGGTAATTGAATGCTAATCCACAATGTACAGGGAGGGCATGGGATGAGTGGAGGAACTTTGGATTGGCCAAAATTGTGCTCCATTTGTGTATAATGAATTGAAGAGTATTCTGCTGTCATGTATAACTGATGAGAACAAATAAATTAATTTTAAAAAATAATGTAAGAAGGTAAAGTGGGATGTGGATGAGGCTAGAACAACCATGGACAGTGCCTATTGGAGCTAATGATGCTTTATAAGGGTTCATTATTCTATCCTTGTTTATATTTTAAATTCTCTATTGTGTTTATTTAATCCTGATACTTCTACTGACACATGAATATAAACTTCAAAGTTTCTGAATAGCACTTCTTAAGCCAATGCTAAGGTGGCACATAGTATTGAAAACTAAGCTTTTAGAAACCAATATATTTGGTTGTTATGAACATTGAAAAGAAATGTTTACAGATGTAACTATAAGTCATAGTTATGTTTACAGATGTAACTATAATGTTTACAGATGTAACTATAAGTCAAAGTTATGTTTCTGGCATTTCCTATTGGTTGTTGCTATACTTCAGAAAGACTTCATTCAGCATAGGCCTGTGATTGTCAAAGTTTAGTGTGAGTCTGAATGCCTGGGAAATGATGAGAAATATGGACTCCAGGTCTCTTGCTGAAGAGACTGATTAGGAGGTTTGAAGTGGTAATCAGAAATATATGCTTTTAATAAGTTCATGAGGTGGCTTATTGACTATACTAATCTGCAGACTTTTATTTCATGGATATAAACACAAAAAATGATGAAATGTTTTAATTAAAGCTTTTTGTAAAAGCAACTTCAAGGTTTATGGATTGTGTTTTAAACAATATAAATAAAATGTAACATTTACAAATCAACCAGTGTTGACAAATCTCTATACAAGATTCAAATGAAAAGCATAATTAACAAAGGAGCATAAATAGAGTAAGTGATGACAATACTGGCCCCAAATTCTTCTCACAACTGTTAGACTCATCAAAATACTGTTTTGTTCTGTTAGGACATAACCAAAATTTCCAGCAAAAGTCTATGTTATATATAAGGAAAAGGTTGGAAAGCTTGAACACAACAGAACTGGCTGGTATGGGTTTGTGTGTGTGTGCATTTATTTATTTATTTATTTTTATGGTGCTAAGAATTGAACTCAGTGCCTCACATGCTAGGCAAGCACTCTGCCACTGAGCTACAGACCCAGCACTGGTATAGGTATATTTTAAAGCCACATGAGATGTGGATATTTCCTATAGTGTTGACATTCAGTGGCAGAGTCATGTGTATTGGCAGTCATTTCCACCTGACAGCAGTTGACAATACTAAAGCAACCCCTCTTTATACTTGTTTAGAAATATGACAAATGGGGCTGGTTGGCAGGCAGGGGAAAGAGAAAAGAACTACCAGGTATTGAACACCTGTTAGGTACGAGGTGCTTTGCATATACATTTATCCTGAGGTGTTCTTGGTGGGATAGGTTCCAGGATCCCTGGGGATGACAAATAGTGGATGACAAGTTCCTTATATAAAATTGTTATAGTATTTGCATATAATTTGCACGTATCCTCCCACAGACTTTGTCATCTCTAATGCCTAATTTGATGTAAATGCAAGGTAAATAATTGTTATACTATATTGTTTAAGGAATAGTGACAAGAAAAATGTCTGTAATATGTTCAGAATAGATGCAAATTTTTTCTATTTTCTATCCATGGTTGTTTGAAGAACCCAGAGATATGGAGGGCCAACTGTATTGGTTCAAAGGTGAAAAAGTTGCTCTGATGCCAACACAGATTTCCTCCTTGTAGAACTTTTTGCAGTTATGTTTCTCATAGCCAACATTGAAGTTCCTTTTTATTGAATATTTTAGCATAATAGGAATTAAAATGAGACAGAATTCTCTTGACCCAGAGAACCTATCATAAAGCCCAAAAGATGCTAAGTAGAAACAGGTCATTTACAAATAGTTGGGGGGAAAAATGAAGAAGAAAAGGAGGAGCCATAATGTGAGTGAAATTACTCAATGATATTTTTTTATATTTTGAGGTAGTCAAAAATTAAGGAAGAAGACTGATGTCTAGTGAACAGGAATACTATTTCCTTGTCAGGGGTTCTTTACTAATCCTATTCCTTCACTGTATTAAGTAAACTTGACAGAGGAAGAGTTGTAAAGATCTTCAAACATCTTACCTATTAAGTTAGGTCTATGTCCCCAAAAGAGTTAATTTCACTGGGTCAATGAACTAAATTCTTAAAATTTCAAGTCAAATCTAAAAGGTGATTTGATCTCAAACTTCTCTAAAGTTTTTTATTAAACACAGCAACTTAACATTCCCAATTTATGCTGTAGTGCTAAACCTTTTGTGGCCTTTATCAAAGCCTTCAATCTATTTGCTTTACTCTTAAGATATTAAACATGGAGGTAAACACTAATGAAATGTTTTCTCACTAAACACTGAACTTCTAGGCCCATAGCCACCCTGTAAAATACTGGAGGGGGGCAGGGGGTTGTGGAGTGAGTGGTTAATGCCTATCCCTATGTCAAGTTCAGGTCTACTGTGAGAGAGGTGAGCCTGGAAGAAAAAGCAACAAGGTCAGCATGTCCCTATGATTCTGCCATTTCTAGAGTATGCCTGAAAGGAGTAAAAAAGTGAAAAAAAAAAGTAAGCCTGCTAAGTTAAAGAGCTTCTGGCCTTTAGCCATACTGTAGTGGTCTTATGAAAATAAGCCTGTAAATAATGACAGTTCATTGGGACTAAGGGCCAGGACAGACGATTATGGAATGGTTCCAGCTCTGCTCCCTATAGCATTTGTGTAGTGTATGGACTGGGTCTGGGCTGGTTAATGGTAGTGTTCACCTTGACCTCAAAGGGTTGTTGAGGAGTGGCTGCTATTCTCATTAAGGGGAGGGGAGGCAAGGCATGGGGGGCACTGCCATTTGCATTTTATACTCTGAACAGTGTGCTGGCACTGGTGGATTTGTTGGAAGACTGTCCTTGTCTCCAGTCATGGGTGAAGCCAATTGGGACACATAATTCAAATTGGTTTCTTCAGCTGGTATTTCTCCCAGGGAGTTCATGTAGTTTTTTTCTAGTGTCTTTAGTAAATTATCAGGTGAGGTCAATAATCCCAGCTGACATGGCGAATCTTCAGGGGGTACTGGGACATGGCCACAGGAACCAGAGTCAGAAGCTGATTGATTATAGGTTAAGTTCTCAAAACAGATGCAAGGGCCAGGGTGAGAGGACTTCTTTTCTTCTTGTAGGAGGTAAAGGTAGACAGGCTCAATTAATGCACTTTCTATGACTGGCTTCCTAGTCTCCAGGAGTTGTGGCTTGGTCCCTTCTGGTTTATTTATAACTTCTATAGCATCTGGAATGCAGTCTTTGACATTCATTATTGTTAAGTGAGGGTTCTCCTAGAAAGGAAGCAAAATGTGTGTCAGGAGATGTGTACCAAAGTATATTAAGCACGTGAAATGCACTTTGAGCTTCAATTTTGTTACGTCTCTTGCTGGTCACAAATTAACCTGGAGGTGGTATTGAAAAACCCAAGGATTTCCCCCAACAGAAGAAATCAAAGCTCTAGTCACTTCTATGTTTCTTCTTCTTTCCCTTTCTCAATAATTATCCCTAAGTCCCTACTCTCTCCTAATGCTGGGATGGAACCCGAGGCTGCACATATTCTAGGCAAGTGCTCTAACATTGAGCTCCACTCCCAACCTCTTCAATCACCTATTTAATGGCTGTGGGAGCAGAGGTGCCTCTAATTTGTCATATTTTCCTGAAGAGGTCTAGGAAAGTGTAATTGTTATGGCCCCAATCCACAACAAGTTCTTACCTTGGATTTTATTAATGACAGGATGCTGCTCTTGTAAGGGTCTGGGATGTCGGGATAACACTTCTCCTTCACCCTAGAAAAACAGTGATAATGAGATGGAATTTCACGATTTAGTGGAATCATTAAGATAGAGAACTCTGAAGTCAGATTCCTAGGTTCTGATCCTTGTCCTGTCCCTTATTAAGCAAATTGCTTAGCTTCCCCATTGCTTAGCTCCTCCTGGTTGGGTAAGTGGAGGAAATAGCAGTGCTCACAGGGCTGTTGTGAGGATGAAGTGGGTTATCTATATAAAGCACTTGGAACACCACCAAGCACATAGGGATAAATATGGCTATTGATAAAAACATTTGCAATCTCTTAATTTTAAGTGGTCATTATTTTCCTCATGTATTGGCTTGGAAAGCAAAACTGTTCAAAAATTACATATTCTCACATACACCTCCTTCATCCTTTCCCTTTTCAGAACTGTGGTTTTTTTTTTTTGTTTTGTTTTGTTTTGGTGGGAAGGTACCGAGGATTGAACTCAGGGGCACTTGTCCACTGAGCCACATCCCCAACTCTAATTTTTTTGTATTTTATTTAGAGATGGGGCCTCACTGAGTTGCTTAGCACCTTGCTTCTGCCAAGGATGGCTTTGAACTTGCGATCCTCCTGTCTCAGCCTCCAGAGCTGCTGGGATTATAAGCGTGTGCCACCACGCCTGTTCCTTTTCAGAACTTTTGCTCATATTATTCCCTGCTATTTCCATCTTACTAAACTCCTAAGGCTTTCTCTCACTTTCCTAGATAAAACTTCCTCACACACTTACCACTCACTTTTCCAGTAGCATGCTACTATGATGAGCGAGACAAAGAGAATCATGGGCAGTATGATGCGGATCAGCTTATGGTCTGGAGAAGGAAAAAAGACATTTGTAATGGGTACTTTTACCTCCTCAAAAGAATAAAAATAAATTTGTGAGCCAGAATAGTTTACACATTTATTATTCCTCAAATGTTCATTTATGCATGTTTCAATGTGAGTTTTACCTGATGGTGGGGGTAACTGACCAATCAACCCACACAGAGAGCCCTTTGCCATCAGCCAACACTTTGTGATGCAGACTCATTACCTCTCTGATAAAGTAGACCATGATTCCCACTTCTTCAGTTGCTCCCAGAGTTAGAATTATACTTTTCCCATTCTTCCCCAAGCTTCCTGGCAGGTGGAGAGTACCTTTCTGCCCCTTGACTGGGGACTCAGACATGTGCCTGGGCTTGGCCAATGAGATGTTGGTAATTGTGATGTGAGGAAGTAGAAGCTTAAGATGTGCTGACAGAGTCTGCCTGGTCTTCTTGTGCTCCTGAAACCACCCTAGGCAGCTGCTGCCCATTCAGCCTGAGCCTGAGTTGACCTACTGTGAAACAAACTTGAACCCAACTGAAACTGCAGTCCAGCTTGGCCCAGCCTAGATCAGCCAGGCCACAACTGATCTGTAACCCATGAGCAGAACAGAAATGGTTGTGGTATTGCCACTGAGACCTGTTCCATACAGTTCCAAAACTGATGTACGCGACTCTTCTAGTTAGTCTCAGATAAAATTAGCAAAAATTGTCTTAACCTCGGAGAATCATTCCATTTCCATTTCCTTTTTTTTTTTTTTTTTTGTACTGGGGATAAGACCCAGGACCTCACACATACTAAGCAAGATCTCTACCACTGAAGTACATCCACAATCCTTTTTTATTGTATTTTGAGACAGGTGCTCACTAAGTTGTTCAGGCTGGCCTTGACTTGTGATCCTCCTGCCTCAGTCTCCCACGTAGCATGGTGCCATAGTGCCTAGCTGTGTGCTTTTTTTTTTTTTTAAATATCCATCTTCCTGTTCCCATTCTTGGTAAATAATACTCATAATTCAAATAGCTCAAGGAGTTTGGAGTCTAACAGTTATTCCATGTACTTAGGATTCTGTTCAGTCCATTCACTTCCTCTGTACTCCCCACTCTATCCCTATACCAGGCTATCCTGGAAAAAGTGGAGCTTGGTTTGAGGGCAGCAGTATTGTGGGTGATGTTGCAGTTGGGAAAGAAGAGCTGGCCTGGGCAGATGCCCAAGACAGAGCAATGAGGCAACACAGGGTTCTGGAGAAAAGGACCCAGAAAGATAATAGGCCTAAGCAAGCACCTCAACACCTGGTCTCAAATTAACCTGGCCCCAGGGCAGGCGGGGGCGTGCTGTCTTCCTGAATCTTTCACTAAGAACACCTTGCTCTCTGGGTCAGCCCTTTTAACTACTATAATTAACTTAAAATTTGGTTAAATTATGAATATAGTTTAGAGCAAACCTTGGACCTAACAATGTTTCCAAATTTTCTACTAGTTTGCTAAATCTTTTAGTGAGGCATAATATAGGTAGAATACCTCTTCCTTAAAATACTTGGCACCAGATTTTTTTTTTTGTATTTCAAGTGTATTTTTATATATATTTTTTTTTGCATTTCTTTATATACTGCATACACATAATGAGATATTTGTGTTTCCTGTGCACCTGATAGCCTGAAGGTAATGTTACACAATATTCTTAGTGCACTTGTACTTTGACTCAAAGTTCCTTCACTGAGGCGAGGCTGTAGGGATGGATGTCATGTCAGATAGAACTGCTGATCCTAGAGGGCCATACCTGGTTACGGGGATACACACAGCTACAGAGAAGCAGGTGGTGGTTCCTGCCAGTTCACTCCTAGACCATCGCATAATCTTCTGTCTCCAAACCCAAGTTCAGAATTCAAATGAGTTTAAGATTTGAGCCAATGATTCACATTATATGAGCACTTTTGTCATGTTGAAGTTCATTTAAAATTCATTTCCAAGTTATTTTCTTCCCACTGCAACTGTGTGTGCCCTTATCACCTGTCAGCACTCTGGGGTCAGCAGTTCTACATGATGTGACCTTCCCATCCTTTCAGTTTGGCTTTCAATAAAGAGACCTTGGAAGCATCAAGGAGTTGGTGATTTCTGGCCAGACTTTTGAGCCTGACTGTTTTACAAGGTCCCTTCCAACAATGAACTTCCTCTGAGTTCATTGGAAGACATTCTTTTCTCCCCTCCCTCTATCAGTGTCTGTCTTCTCTCCCTACTGGATCATGGGATATCTGGGTTGCCCATAAGGACACATTTTTCTATCAACCAGTTCTTTCATTCTTCTTTCTTGCTTTCTCCATCCTTCTAGCCAAATGCATCTTGAAAAGACCCAGCTCTTCATCGCACCCTTTCCCAACCAAAAGTACACAAATGTAGAGCTAGTGAACATGCTCCTGCCTGGCCTCTGCCCCACTGATGTCTAATTGCCCATGGAGGCCTGGCGAAGCAGGAAGCTATCAGTTTGCCACCAGGAAAACAGCCAGAAGGAAGACTGGCATTTCTGCCCCAACTACCAATATCTGCCTGCTCCCCATGGCTCTTTGGCTAGCAACACTAAAATACTGTGATTTTCAATGGATTCTGAGACTGATTCAGAGAAGGACCTCAGCGTTGGCTGAGAGGGGAAAGAGGAAGATTCCAAGCAAAAATTGGTCAGAATAACTCCAACTCTTTCCTGATTTTTGGAGTGGGATTCTGTGTAATAATTTGTGTGTCTGTGTGTTGGGGGGGGAGTGAAACAAAAAAGAAGAAAGAAGGAGAAGAAAAAGGGTTGGAGAAGAAAAATTTGAAAATTCCTGATTTAGAAGAAGTCTAAGGTAACATGGCTGTAACTTGCAATTTCCCAGAAACTCCAAAGGAGGGACTTTTGATCTGGAAAACAACTCACAGGGCTCATCTGATGTTGTGACCTTCGTGAAAGTACCATTGGGACCCTCACCAACTCCTGTGTACGAAGTGACGAAAAACTCATAGGAGGATTCCGGCTGAAGGTTTTCCATAATGAATGTCTTTTTCCTTGGGTCATCAATGTCGAATTTGCAACGTATTAAATCATCTGTGGTTGTCAGAAATTTTTTTCAAGAAATAAGAATTAATTTTTTTAATGAGCATGGTAGAGATCTCATAACAGAGATGGACATATACTCCTGTTGCCTCTGCACTATTGACATTCTTAAATCAACCCAAAGTCACATTATTTCATCACCCTGTGGGAGATCTTTAAGAGAGAGCACAATAAGCAAAAAAAAATCACTAAACAGGCCTCATTGGTGACCCAGGTACAGCATACAAATCAGACAAGACAGTGAAGCTTGCAAAGACTTAAAAATAAGTTGTAATAATGTTTGACGAAGTTGAAGGAAAAAGGGTAAATAAGTTTCCTGAGTGGCAGAATTCCTTAAAGAGCTGAAGACCAGGCCCCCAACCTCTTGTTCAGCCCACTCATTGGTCTAAATACTCCTTTGGATCATTAAATCCTGAGGGAAAGGTACTCAGCCTGGCCACAGGGATGGTAGCCTTTGTAATGCTTTTGAATAATGAGATCTTAAAAGTCTAAGAGAATGAATAAAAATAAATGTTACCTGAAAGGACCTCCTTTTCAAATCCTGGGTGGCACTGTCTGTTCCTGGCTTTCAGATAGACGTGGTACCCTTGTATAAAACCAGGCTGGGACTCGGTGGCATAATCCTTCCAAGTCATAGCAAAGGAGCGGGAGGTCAAGTTAGTAATGTTCACTTGAGGGCTATCCAAAGGAGCTAGGAAGGGAAGTTGGAGTATAAAAGGAGTCATGATTTGGAAATAGTCTCAGAATAAAGAAACCAAAGCCAGTGGCGGCTGTAAAAACTTATACAGTTCTACCTGTTACCCTAGAGGATTTATGCATGGATATCACTTGTGAGGGATGAGGAGTTGAGCAATATTCTTGTTTAAGCTTTGCCTTTCAGAGATGGAGAAATAAATACCCAGAAAGACTAAGAGAGAAGACAGGCTAAGTAACTTGCACAAGAAGAACAAAACAAAAAAAAGATGAAATCTCTTTCTTAGACTTGATTCTGTCCTTGAATTCTAAGTAGTGTTTGAGAGAAGACCCAACCAGAGAACTTACTGAAGGGAAGAGGAGTGGGAGGAAGAGGCAGGGTTATGCTCAAAGAGAGAGCAGGAATCTGTAGAACTCTGGCTCCCAGCTTGAGGCAATGAAAAACTACCCAAGTGTCACAGGGGAAAAAACAAAAAACCCTGGGCTCATTTATTCTGAAGCCTTCGTGGGTCTGCCTCCACACACACTTAGCCACACATGTGGTCACACAGGCAGAGGGCACACCTGCTGCCTCAGAGCCAGCTGTGATCTGTGGATCATCTACTCCCAGTGAAGGAGCCTGAGACTCTGTCTGATGCTCATGAGGACCACCTGTGCAGCTTTCAGGCAGCCTGAGACCTTGGATCCAGAGGCGGTGAATAAGCACTCTCAGGGGACAGCAACTTCCTGCTCTGCTGGGGAACAGTGGTGGAAGTTCATAGGGGTGATTTCACAAAATGTCTGAAAAGTCTTAAAAATTATAAAAAAGATGAAAAAAATATTTGAGAAGTTCAAACCCTTAGATGTAAGTATTTCACCTCTGGGGCTTCACATAAAAACCATTATCTTGGATATGGGCAAATGAGGTTTGCCACAATCAAGTTAATTCAGAAAGGGCACAAGAGATTGCACCAAGGAAGAAAGAGAGTT